CCATGTGCAGGCAGGCTGCGGCAGGCGGGCGTGCCCTGTCCCCAGGCCAGCGTCGGCTCCACGCCGTCCTGCAGCCACCCGGTGCCGGAGATGGCCCAGCTCACCGAGCTCCACCCGGGCAACTACCTCTTCTACGGTGAGTGGGTCGGGACCCCCCCTCCCCAACCCTGGTGCGACACCCCCCCAGGGTGGGACGCACCCCAACCTGGGCTGGGCACCCTCTTCTCCCAGACCTTCAGCAGACCCTGCTGGGCTCCTGTCACCCGGAGGAGGTGGCCATCCGTGTCCTCACCAGGGTCATCGGTCACTACCCCCACCGCAACCAGCTGCTGGTGGACTGCGGGTGGGCCGCCCTCAGCCTCCACGGCCGGGACCAGGCGCCCACGGGCTGCGCCGCCCTCGAGGGGCACCCTCAGCTCAGGTGAGCAGCGGGGGTGGCGCGGGTGGGGGACACACACGAGTGGGGACGCGATGATGGCGTGTCCCCGCAGGCTGGTGGGGCTGACGCAGGAGCACGGGCAGGTGGAAGCCATCGATGGACGGTTGGATTTCGGGCGCTTCCCGTTGGGCAGCATCCTGGCTCTCATCCCCTTCCATGTGAGTACCGGCCCTGCCACGCCCCGCCGTGAAAAAAAACCACGCCCCGCTCAGCATCCCTACCCGCCGCAGGCCTGCGCCACCGCCGCCATGCACCCCGTCTACTACGTCCACGCTGGGGGGAAGGTGGTGGAGCTCTGGCACCCCGTCCGCGGCTGGTAGGGAGGAGAGCAGGGAGCTGCCGGGGTGCTGCGCCCACGCCGGGGGTGCTGCGTCCGTGCCGAGACCCTGCACCCACCCCGAGACCCTGCACCCACACCAAGGCTCTGCACCCACACCAAGACGGTGCACCCACGCCGGGGTGCTGCACCCGCACCGAGACCCTGCACCCACACCGGGGTTCTGCACCCACGCCGGCGTCCTGCACCCACGCCAAGGCCGTGCACCCACACCGGAGTGCTGCACCCATGCCAGGGTGCTGCACCCGCGCCAAGACCCTGCACCCGCGCTGGAGTCCTGCATGCACCCCAAAGTCCTGCACCCACCCCGAGACCCTGCACCCACCCCAAGGTCCTGCACCCATTGCTGGAGTCCTGCATGCACCCCAAAGTCCTGCACCCACCCCAAGACCCTGCACCCATTGCCGGAGTCCTGCACCCATTGCTGGAGTCCTGCACCCACCCCAAAGTCCTGCACCCACCCCAAGGTCCTGTACCCACACCCAGACCCCGCACCCACCCCAAGGTCCTGCACCCATTGCTGGAGTCCTGCACCCACCCCAAAGTCCTGCACCCACCCCAAGGTCCTGTACCCACACCCAGACCCCGCACCCACCCCAAGGTCCTGCACCCATTGCTGGAGTCCTGCACCCACCCCAAGGTCCTGCACCCATTGCTGGAGTCCTGCATGCACCCCAAAGTCCTGCACCCACCCCAAGACCCTGCACCCATTGCCGGCGTCCTG